TTTGTACGTCATAGGAATCTAGAAATTTGTCCATTTCTTCTAGATTTTTGCAGTTATCTGTTGTAATGACTCCCCTTTTAGTTCTAATTTTATTTATTTCGGTCTTCTCTTTCTTTTGGTTAATTTAGCTACAGGCTTGTCAATTTTTTTTTTTCAAAGAACCAACTCTTTGCTCCAATGATTTCTGTTAATTTCTTTCTACTCTGATTTTGTATTTTTTCCTTCTACTAATTTGGGGCTTTTTCTTCCCCTTCAGACCTTTATTATTTATTTGAGATCTCTATTTTTTTATTGAAGGCACTCATTGCTATGAAACTTTCTACTTTGTACTGTTTTTGGTGTATTCCCTGTTCTTTGCTCTGTTGTGTTTCCATATGATTCAAGAAAATTTTAAATTTCCCCTCTGATTTCTTCAGTGACACACTGTTCATTCAAGAGTGTACTGTTCAATTTCCATGTGTTTGTATAATTTCTAGTTTCCTTGCTATTCATTTATGGTGTCATTCCATTGCGATCAGATAAGATGCAAGAAATTTTTTTTTTTTAACTTGGTAAGGCTTGCTTTGTGGCCTAAAATATTGTGTATTTTGAGATAGTTTCATGTGCTGATATAAAGGATGTATACTGTCAAATTATTCATTTTCTTTAGAGTACTCTTCTTCTTTTTTTTTTCTCTATTATACATTTGTCTCTCCCATATCCTGCATAGGCAATGGAAGCTGGATTCCCCTGTGTGGAGGGGACTGGCTGAGAAATACGGTGAAAAATCACATGACACAAAAAATAGTTTTAAAGAGCAGGGGCAGGATGGCTCTTCAACCTTAAGGGTCGAGTTTCTACCCTGGAAAGAGAGCTTGAGAGCCCTCTTTATTTGTATGGGGGAACTTCAAAGGCTTTCTATAGAATGTTCTTTACCAATTAATGTAGGAGGTAGGCTGTCCAGTTCCCACTGGGTCACGCCCAATTCTGAAGCTTCAAGATCAGTTTTCCTAGCCGACTGAAAACAGAGGTGATGTGTATTATGCAATTCATTGAGTGGGAGGAGCCACAAAAATAGCTTGCAATGCCAAACCAAAATCTCCTTGGCTCCAAGGCCCTGTGAAGATGCTCAGATAGTTCAGGGGTGGCTCCCCACTCATTGGTTTACTATTTTGCTAATTTCTGCTCTTATCTTTATTATTTCTTTGCTTCTACTTTCTTGGGGTTTAACTTGATATTCTTTTTCTACATCTTGAAATGGATGCTTACATAATTGTTTTATAATCTTCTTTTCCAATGTATGCTTTGAGGCCTAAATAATTCTCTTTGAGTACACCTTTGGCTGCTTTTCACAAATGTGATGCAACATCATAAAATAATCTTTTAATTAAAAACATTTTATTATTTCCATTGTGATTTTTTTAAGTCCATAATATTTTTAGTACGTTTACTTAATTATCAAACATAGTTCTCTGTTGTAGATTTCCAGTTTTATTTCACTGTTTTCAGAGAATACATATTATTCAATCATGTATTGAGACTTGCTTTATGACTTAGAATGTGGTAGGTTTTTGGTAAATCTTCCATAACTTTTGAAAAGAATGTATGTTCTGTTAGTCGTTTGCAATTTTGTTTCTAAAATTTTCTGCATCTCCAACTTTTTCAGTTTGCTAGTGTTATCAATTATTGAAAAGTAATTTAAAATATAACTAATTATGACTGCAACATAAGTTTGTTTCTTTTTTTAGTTCTGGTAGTACTTGCTTTTTGAATCTGTTATTAGGTGAATATAAATTCAGTATTGTATCTTTCTGTTCAACATAACTTTATTGTTATGAAGTACCTCTCTTTATCTCTAGTAATGCCTCTCGTTTTAAAATATATTTTGTCTGGTATTGGTAAAGCTATGTAAGCCTTTTTTACTATTAATAGTATCTTCATGGTTTAAATTTTTTTCCATTCTTTTAACTTTCTGACTCCACAAGTTCTTAAAGTGTACCACTTTTAAATAATATATATATAGTTGGTATTGATACTATATAATCTTAAAATATTCATCTTTTAATTGAAATACTTAGTTCATTAACATTTAATTCTATTGATATACTTGGGTTTGGACCTATCATCTTACTGTTTATTTTTTTTTAGTCCCATCTTTGTTACATTTTTTTCTCATTTTGGATTAATCACATTTTTTAAAATTCCCTTTTCTTCTCTAAATTATTAGTAACATTTGCACCCCCTCCCTTGCCCCACTACCCCATGGGGAATGCATTCTAAGACTCCCCAGTGAGTCCCTGAAATTGCAAGTATTACTAAGCCTGGTATGTTTTGAACATGAAGTGTCCCTCAAAACCTCCTCTGTTAATGCAGGAATATTCAGAGGTAAAATGTTTGTATCATGAGAATTATAACCTAATCAATCCATCCTAGTTTGAGTGGGCTAACTGGGTACTAACTGTAGGTAGGTGGGCATGGCTAAAGGAAATAGGTCATTAATGGTATGCCCTGGAAGGATGTATCTTCCCTGAAACTTTTTCCCACCCTGCCCCTCTGCTTCCTAGTTTTAAATCTGAGTATCTTTTTTCCTCTGCATCCTTAGCCATGATGTTCCACCTCAGCTTGGGCCTAAAGCAATGGAACCAGCTGACTGTGCTCTAAACTCTGAAACCAGTTGCCAAAATAAAATTTTTCTCCTCTAAATTGTTCTTGCTCAATATTTTGGTCACAGCAACAAAAAGCTAACTAACACAGAGCCCCTACATATACTAAATTTTTTCTTATCCATACACAGATTTACTATCTTTTCCATCTTAACTAAGCACATATCAGGTATTGTATAATTTTTGCAGTTGGAGGTGTGACAGCAAAATTAGCTTGGATTTCTTTTTTTTCTTCAAAATTTCACAGGATGTTCATTCTTCCCATGCATCTTAGCAACTGCATATCTTTTTCTTTTCTTCCCTGATTAAATAGTCAAGAACTTTCACCTTTTCACGTAAAAGAAATATTTAAAGATTCTCTTTGACATATACATATTGCCAGTATCATTACTCTTCTACTTCATGGCCATTATTAAATAAAACAAGGGTATTCTTGAATACAGGCACAGTGGTGCCATGACCATCAATCTGCTAACTGAGATAGCAAAGCAACTTTTGAGAAGGTAGCATAATACAACATTGAAACACTTGACAAGAAGATTCCCTTCCCAGGCAAGACAGGATGGAGACAGCTAAACATTTCATAATGCTACTCAGAATAGCATACATTGTAAACCTTATAAGTTGTTTATTTCTGGATTTTCCATTTAATACTTTTGGACAGCAGTTGGCCATGGGTAACTGAAATCATGAAATGCAAAACCACAGATAAGGGGAGGAATACTATAGTTTTTTTATTTTTCTGTTGTTTCCCCGGTGAGTACAACATGTATCCCTAACTTACTGGAAACTACCTTCAATTAATGCCTTTTCTTTTTCTCAGACATTCCAATGGTTTTAAAAGAATTTAATTCCATTTTCTCTTTTCTTCCTTCTGTGTGATTATTCTTATGTGTTTTATTTACCTATAGTGCATATCCCTCTAGACATTATTATTATTGTTTTTTTAATTGTTAATCTAAATATTCAGTTAGATTTCCTTACATCTTTACCATTTCTGGTGTATTTTAATTTCTTTCTATATTAGTTCTATTTGGATCATTTTCCTACTAAAGAATTCATTTAATATTTAGTATGTCTCTTAGTACAGGTCTCTTGGTGTATATTTCAACTGCATTTGTGACAGGTTTTGGTCACATATTCAGAATTCTAGTTGGTTAGTTGTTTCTTTTAATATGTTACAGGTATCACTTTTTGTCATCTTGTTCCATTGATTCTATTGAGTTACTAGAGAATAGTCCAACTTTTGATTCCTAAAAAGTAATGCATCCTGGTTTTTTTGGTTTTAAATATCTTCACTTTGATATGCTAATGTGGTTTTTCTTTTTGAAATTTATTTTATTATTTTATTGTTTTTTTTTTAAATGATTTGTAAAAATGTAAATTCCTTCTTTAATTACCTGCAGTGTGTGAATTGGTCTGCCTCTTTTGTTTGTTGTTGCTTTTTTTTTTTTTTAGCTTTTGGTTGCTAGGGTTTGTTTGTTTGTTTGTGATGGGAGGGGGTTGTTTGTGGTCATCGTTGTTGTTGCTCTGGGGATTGAACCCATGGGCCACCATGCCTAGCTGGTCATTAGGTCTTGATGGAATTCTGGCTATTGTGTGTGAGGGTTTGTGGAGGCTATGGCTGACATATTCTTTTAGGGAGGATTTAGTGTGCTTCTGGAAGGCAAATTACCATATGAGAATATCTGAATCATTTGGGGAACTTGAATTCCATGTTTTTCCTCCCCAGGACTCTATGAGACAACTGAAATATCCGCTTGCTGTTTCAGCCTACTAGCACTGATTCTCTGCCTTGCTTCTCAGCATCTTGCTCTGTACATATGCAGTTCGCATATGGCACATGCTAAAACAGGAATAATAATATTGATCCCACCACACATTTCATTTTCTCTGACCCCTGTGTGCTGACTGTCTTGGTAGTCCTGCACTCAGTGGTAATCCTCCATCCTCCTAACTCCACAGCCACAGTCTCAGCCAGTCAAGTCTACCTATCCTGCTTGACTGCACCTAGAACTGTCAAACACTCTCAAGGGGAGAGAGTGGCAATGATGGTTGCGTTACCTTCTTGTATTTCTCTTTTCCCTGGGATCTTGGCCCTCTAATCCTGATAGCCTTTGGTACTCTTCACTGCTTTAAAACATCTGGGAGTTCTATTATTTTGTTGTTATGGTTTGTTTTGGGTTTTTTTTTTTCTTTCTTCATTTTATTCAGCTTTCATCTTTGTTCTCAGTGAGAGAGTTGAGTTTGATACAAGCTGCTTCTCCACAGCTGGAAGTATAAATCTGCATCTGATTAATTTTTAAATCATTTCTTGATGTATATGATATTAATTGCCATATGTTTTACATTCTCCAGGATGCAGTATCAGCCTTACTTGCAAGAACCTCAGCTGAACTATTGGCTGTGGAACAAGAATTAGCACAAGAAGAAGAAACAGAGCCAGAAGAACAGAGGGGTCCAGAAGGAGATTGGTAAACAGTAGTCATTTCCTTTTGCAGTAGTAACTTGCTGGGAAGAAGTTTAATTTCTCATAAGAAACTTCCAGTGAAACCTTTGTAAGTTTATATCTTCTGTAATTACAGAAAACAGTGTAGCTTCAGGAAGCTAAGGATAAAGAGTCTCTTCTTGGCCATTAGAGAGTTAAAGGAGGTAACAGAAAAATTGTGGGCAAAGTCAACACATTAGCCAGATTTTTAAATTCTTCAACTAATTTTGGCATTAATTTCTAAGGTTTGTTTGTTTGTTTGTTTGTTTGTTTGTTTGTTTGTTTTGGTGGGGGTTGGGGTTAGGCTGCAGTACCAGGGTTGCTCTACAACTGAGCTACATCCCCAGCCCTTTTTATTTTTTATTTTGAGATAGGGCCTCGCTAAGTTGGCTTAGGACCTCACTAAGTTTCTGGGATCTTGAACTTGACATCTTCCTGACTGAGCTTCCTGAACTGGGATTACAGGCATGTGTCACCATGCCCAGCTAAGCTGTTTTTTTTTTTTTTTTTTGTCTAGAAACTATCCATTTTGAAAGATATTTTAGGTTATTGTAGAGCCAGATAAATTGAAAACCAGTCTACTTTTTCTTTAAACTATTAGGAGAGCCATTTAGGCTGTGGTAAAACAAAGCAGGGAGTTAGCAAAAAAACTTCTGAGTAACTATTTCTCTTTTACCAAGTTTATCTTCTTTTTCTATTTCCTTCTTTGTATCTGCACCTCATCCTTTAGAAAGGGATGTCCAGATTCATATATCTGTTTATCTGCAAATAGCTACCTTTCTGGTTTGTATTGTTTAAAAAAAAATTTTAGTGAATACTTCAGTATGTGTATATACTATATATATGTTTATTTGGATTAATTTTTATATAGTTGCTTATACTGTTATATTTGAACTACTGTTAACTCATATATATATGCTTATACCTACATATATATGTATTTGTGTGAATGTATGTATATACATATATATTAAACTTTTTAGAAACTTACAGGAGCCCAACCCCACAATATGTGGATTGGAGCCAACTTTTTCTTCTATCAGACACAGAGTCTCTGATTTGATATCAAGCTCCTTGATCCATTTTGAGTTAACTTTTGTGCATGGCGAGAGAAAGGGATTCAGTTTCATTTTGTTGCATATG